CTTCTAAACTTGTTTTCTCACTGATTCCAGATAATACATACATTGTTACATCTACTCTTTCAAAAGGCTGATAACTTGTCTTAATTTTACACATACCAATGAGAGTGGAAGGTGACTTAAAGAAATCACTTCTCTTCTGCTTGCCACTTGTTTGGTAAGCTTTTACAGGAGTAGGCACTTTTTTCTCTATAAAACATTAGCTTACAAGACTTGGAATTTTCATGAGACTCGGGAGGAAGAGCCTAGTGACTTATGAGAGAGAATATATCGAAGATAAAAAAAAGAGGAGAAAATGAGCAAGTGAGAAAATTACAGGATAGAATTTTGCTTAGGAGGTGGCCTTGATCCTTGTGTCCCTTTCAGCTCAGAATATTCTGTGATTCTGTGTTTTAGAAAGTATCCAGAGTGTGGGGTATGTGTCTAGATCTGGAAAGCCTAGTTGCATACTTTTTAGGATCTGAGCTAATCTGTAATTCTTTAGCATTCTAGAATTCATCTGTTGGGGACAATTTAAGCACACATTTAGAAATATGTGGTTTGTTGGTAAGCACATGACAATTACCAACAGTGTAGCTTGGTTCAGTGCCAATCTCTGCACTTCAGAAATATTTTGGATGAGATTTCATGTTGAGAGTATTACAGAAAGAGAGCTCTGCTGCTTTCTCTGCTATTTGGGTTTCTTCTCTTTTTATTTTCATTTCAAGCTTTCAACCATCTTGGAAGCTTTCTAAAAAAAAACCCTGTCTGAGGAGATAAGTAGCCCAAATTGCACTATTTCATTGCAATTGTTTAGTGAAGAACTAGATAACTGCAAACGAACATGATGAACACATTAAAAAGGTATTGAACAATGCAAAAATAAAAGTGCATTTTCCTGCTTGTTCATAATACCTTAATGTATATTCTAATAAGTAGGGGGATGAGGGGGAGGTTATAATTAAATCATTAACAAAAATATGCTGGTGACTTTGGGAAAGCTTAATTGTTCTAAAGAACTGAAGGAAAAAGTACAGACATTTTGGTCCTACTTTTCATAGGAGTCTATAAAGACTTTTTTATTTTCTATGGGGACAAGACCTTCAAGGATACTTCTGGGGGACCTAGGCATCCAAGTTACTTGAAAATTGTGCTCTGTCCCTTCCTCTTGTCCTGATCCTAAGCAAACATGCTTTCAGGCAGGAACACAGAGGATGGAAGCTCCTGTGAGAGCTTTAGACACACATGTATTAAATTACCGTGTAATACCGAGTCCAACATTGAAAACTGACATAGCTAATAGCATGCAAGGAGGGGGAAACTAAAACTTTCCACCAGCATTTGTTCATCAGTAAAAGAAAAGAAAAACTGATTAGGTGGGGGTTTTTTGCCTCGCAGATTTTTAGAAAGTCCAGAAAATACCTTTATTTCTCGGAAATACGTGGAGAAGTTGAAATCTCTTGAGCCGTATGAAGATCAGACCTACAGTAAGTGGAATGTTCAGGTGGATTAAATTTCTCAGTTTAATTTAAATCAAACTAATTAAGTATAATCCTCAAAACCAACTCCTGATGGTGAATTTTGATCCTTAGGTGTGTACTTAGAACTGTAATTAAATATGTAACTCATGTTTGTCTTTGATTTCATAGTCAAAAAATGACAGTAATCTTCTAGGGTATGAATGAATCTTAGAATCTTAAACCTCACATATTTTTATAGAATCATGCAATCACTCAGGTTGGAAAAGACCCCTAACATCATGAAATACAACCTTAAACCCAGCACTTCCAGGTCCACCACTAAACCGTGTCCCTAAGTGCCCCATCTATGTGCCTTTTAAATATTCCAGGGATGGTGACCCTACCACTTCCCTGGACAGCGTGTTCTGATGCTTGACAGCCCTTTCAGTGAAGAATTTTTTTCCTAATATCTAATCTAAATCTCCCTTGCCTTTCATATCACAGGCAGCAGTAGCTTGGGATTGTTCAAATCTGTTTTCAAAAGGTAGAATTTGATGGCTGTCAGGCAGTGCTGTCTTAAAGACACCCTCAGCCACCTTTTTCTTTCTATATTCTGCCCCACACCACTCCCAGGTATAATTTTTGTGAGTAGCAAGTGTAATTTTTCTGAATTAAAAAAAATTTGGTGAGAGGAATAGATGGGAAACCACTACAGCTGTAGTGTTTTCTACTGGCATTAAAAGAAGAACTTATTTAACCATTGTTTTAAGAGCAGCATCTGCATATGAGAAATGAGAAACCTTTATTTGGTCTTTTTTGGGATATGCACTGCCAGTCCACAGTGAAATTTCTATTTCTGTGCCTGTCTGGTCTAATATTTTTTGTAGGATTTTTTGATTGTACCTTTAGCTGATTTTCTAGTTATTGTGAAATGATTCAGATTCAAGCTTCCCTTTCTTGTACTTGTGATATAGACAAAAACCACATGTCAAGGTATATTTTTCATCCTGATGGATTTTTTTTTCACATGGTTTACCAAATGTTTTTTTGGGGGGGAGATTTGTGGAATAAGAAAGCTACTTCCAGGTCATCTTTACATATTTTAAAGTGTGTATAGCAGCAGGAGTAGAACTCTCAGTTTCACTGTGTGGAAGATTCCCAACATAATTAAAATGAAGTTTTATGTGATTATACATAAAATAACTGAGTTTATTAAGTTCAAATAGTTTGTACTTACCAGTGATACATAAAATAGATTCTAAAACATTCTAGTAAAAGCTATGATATAGAGTATAGTTTTGGTTAAATAATTCATCCACTGTAATTTCTTATTTATGAGTAGATGCAGGGGTATTCTCACTGTTAATATACTGATCTTACTGGTGTATTCCTACCATGTGTGATTCTTTTTGTTTAAAGAAGATGTTACTCTGTTAAATAGGAATTGCCCAAAGAATAGAGTGCCATTAAGAACAGGGCTCTGTCAGTATAGCACAAAGTAATTCCTCTTCAGGCAGCTGAAATTGCAGTTATTCAGAAGAAAATGCACTTTACTTGACATATGTTGAATTCTGGGTTCAGTCTCTGGGATTTTGTCTCTGTTTTTCTTAATAAGAATGAACATAATCAGTGACAAATGTCACTACCTGTTCTTCATGGATAAGCAGATGGGATTCAGAGAAAGATTTAAAATGGAAGCTCCCTTTCTGTTTGATGCAGAAAATCCATATGTTCATCTCAATCAGGTGATGAGGATTCTCAGAAAAAACATATTTGCTTGTAATATTTCAGTAAAAAAGTGAATGATATTTCAATGTACACATTGAAATATTTGTGAGTTGGAACATTTGGTTTTTTGCTGGGTGTTTTTTCTTTGTTTGGGTTTTTTTTTTTTTTTTTGTTTTTTTTTGGGGTTTTTTTTTTTTTTTTGGTTTTTTTTTTTTTTTTGTTTTTTTTTGGTTTTTTTTGGTTTTTTTGAGGGATTGTTTTGGAGGGGTTTTTGTTTTACTGGTGTTTGGGGAGTTTTGTTTGTTGGTTTGGGGATTTTTTGTTTTCCAAGATGGTGGTATAATTCTAGTGCCACCAAATTCAGGTTTCTTGTTTCTCTTCCAGTGTTGCCTATACTTACAATTTTTTTTTTTTTTTTAATTCTGAATACTTTCTCATGTTCCTTTACACAGCATAATGTGCTCTTGAGTAGAATAGCCTAAAGTAGACTATTAAGTGGCTCTTTTTTAAAACATCATGAGGGGACTTTGTTAACATTTATACAACTTTAAGAAGTGGTTTAATAAGTTAAAGAATGCAAGAATATAAATTAACTTCTTTATATGCAGATTTTATTTTGTGGTTTCAATGCAGAGTCATTTGCATGATTTTGGGTGCTCTGAGAGGCAAAGCGAATGCAGCTTTGTAGCCTCTTTGCCATAATTCTCTCAGCTTTTCTTATCTTGAATCATATATGCAGGATCTATAGATTTCACTGGCAGGTTAAGTAAGCGCAATATATCCTGCAACTGTACTTGGAGCATTCCTTCCCTCTTTCAGCAAATCAAGAGCTTGAGATGCTGGAAAAATAAATGTTTCTAATGCAGGAATCTATCTACAGAACTATTTGAAGTATCTATTCCAGGCTACAAGCACATGAAACAATATTGAAAAGTGCAATTGCTCAAGAAAGTGTGGGATATTCATGTTTATATAAATGTAAGAGTTTTCTTTAAATTACTTATAAATTACTTATGAGTTTAGACTGTATTTGAATGTTATATTTTTAATTTGATCCTAGAAGTGCTATAGTTTTGATTTTTTAAAAAAAAATTAAATACTGAAGATTTTACTATGCCTTTTGTTTTTGAAATAATAGTTGCTATGTTTTAGGATACCCAGAGTAAAAATATCTCTGTTCCCAAGTCAACCAATTTCAAGATAATCCCAAAGCAAAACAAACTTTGTCGTTTCCTTTAGAGCTTTTTTAATACTCAGAACTGGATTGGTTAGTTTAAGTAACGGAGTAAAAACTCAGAAATCCATAAAATCCAATTCAGAACTCAGAACTGTATATTGGAAAGCTCTACAAATCTAGAAGCAAGAGTCCAGAAAATCAGTGTACAGATCTGTATGGGGAATCAGTCTTGCAAAGTTCTGTTTCCCTCAAGATGCTGCCTTCCATAGGCAAGGTTAAAAATACATGTACTAGATCTTCTTTCTGTAATTTTGTTGGTAGCACCCCCAAGAGGAGTTGCAAAACATCTTCCCAAAATCTCCCAGGTGCACTTGTATGTTACCTCTTGGTATAGGTGTGTGTCTAATAGCACAAGAAAGTTGTGCAGGTATATTTTTATCAGAAACATGAAACTGTTAAAATGCTTGGTCTTTGAGTTGAATTTAGAGAAGATGGATTATTGTGTGTGTTTGAAAAGTAATGGGGGTGTAGGAAAAAATTTAGGCCCTTGAACTCTTGCTGTAGGGTGGGCTTCCCCCTGCATCCATTTATCAGGTTTGTGGCAGAAGCTTGTCTTCACCAAATGTTGTTGATGCTTTTATCTGTACTTTCTGTTTCAGAGCAGCATTGATGATTGGACTAAAACCCAGTGGAGAGAGATTAATGTGGAACAGATGGATGTGCGGCTCAGAAGGTTTGCCAAGGCATGTCCCACAGCCATCTATTTCTGCAATTTATCTGTCTCAGTGCCACCCCTTCCTCACTCTTCCCACCCACTTGGATGTTTTGGTGGGTTTATTACTCATGTCCAAGCTGAATGTTCTGGAACATGCTTTGTTCTGGGGACTTACCTTTAAAATTTTATTTTTCTGAATGGGTTTGCAACCCCTGTGGAGTTGTATGTAAAATCATGCTGTCACTTTGGTGACTTCAGGCAGTATGGGAAATAAAAAAAGCGGGTGGGGGTTTATGGCAGACCCCTCCAGGCAACAATCACTGTTACAGGTGGAGTTTGCAGAGGTTCATCTGCTCTGCTCATCAACATAGCTCCAGAGGGTTGGGAGCTGCAGGGAAGCCACTCATTTTTAAAGGGAGGGCACTTCTTTTGCTTGAAATATTTCAATGTTTTGTTGACAGTAGCCCTGCAGAAGAAAATTCCAATGGGACAAGAGAAGTATGAAGTAAAAATAACAAAGACTCCCCAGACTATTTGCAGGACAGTGCAGCTGTGCCTCACAGACAGCACAGTGGTTGAATACAAAGTCTTGAACCTAACAGGTATAAAGTTTCTCCTTGTTTCATATTTGTGTAATTCAGAAATGAGTTATCTTTATTGCATGCCCATTTATTTGTCTTTTAAGAGAAAAATCAGATTTCATCATAGATGTCTTCTCTTAAATTGCTTCAAAAGTGTGAACTCCACCTCCCCATTTCTCATACTTTTTTTTTCATCAAAAAAAATCCCACTGGTTTTGGTTCATAGTCTATAACATGGAGAAGTTGTTGGTTTTCAAAATTTTAATAAAATTCTTTTGAACCATTTTGAAAAAAATATTGAAGACAAATTTCCATTTCTTTTTTTTATTTTTAAAATTTAAAAATTGTGAAGCTGAATGCGTAGCAGAGAGTGTAACAGAATTTTTCTGTTTTTCTTCAGTATACAATGTTTAATCACATACAGTTTTCATAAAAGCACATTTAAACTTCTTTTAAAAAAAAAAAAATTGACTGTTATCTTCTCAAATCATTGGTAAAAATTTTAAGGTTTTTTAAATTTAATTTTATTAATCCTACCAAATAGCAACAAAATACTGCAAATATCTGCATCACTCCCCAAGGTTTCTAGTCTCAGATACTGAGTCTGTATTTTATATCAGCTTCAATGGCAGCTGTGCAAATAAACTTACCTTCAGTATTATAAAGTACAGAACTCCAGAATAAAAGACAAAACAAAGCAAAAAAACCAAACCGAAGCAAACCAAATCTGTAACAGCATCAAAAAATATTTCTGCTAGGCTGATGAAGTCCACACTTTGGTGGCAAATCTAAAAGTGTATCTGATACCTAGAGTGCATTTAACTTATTTAATTGTGTTTTTTATTTAGATTCCATTTGAACACTTTGTTACATGCTTATGTCGGACTTTTTCATTGACTTAATTTGCTCCTTGCTGTCTCTTTTCTTTACAGGTTAGGCTTTCAGTAGCAGAAGATCTTCTCAGACCTTCTGGGACTCCAGTTTCATAAAGGTAGATGAATAAGTCAAGAGTGTAGTTGTCAATGCTGTGCAAGAGTTGAGTACTGAAAAGGTGAGAGATGTACTTTTTTTCCCTTCTGTTTTTACAGAATAGTATTTAACAAACTATTTGTTTGGGTCTTGTTTCAAGAAATTAATCATAAGAACTAAATATTTTCATGTGACTTACCTAGGTATCAAAATTCACAGCCTAGCAAAATGAACTTCTTGTCTGTGGTGTAGTTTACCATCATGTGAATCACATAAAATTCAATTAAATTCCTCGGTTCCAAATATGAAATGTGATATATATAGAGAGATGTTATTATTGTTCTTATTATTCCCAGACTTTAGAAGAAATCAGCCAGACATGGTCTGCCATGGAATTTTCTTACCAAGAGCATAAAAGAATATAAATTCCTTTAATAAAGTCCAATGAACAGCTCCTCGAAACTTTAGATAATAATCAAATAAGAACTTAATTATTAGAAATGTTATTACTGTATCAATATTATTCACTCCCTTGATATACTTGGTAAGTTAAAACTTTTTCTTCCTGAATCTTTATTGCAGATTTATATTTTCTCCAGATGTTAGTACTGGGAATTTACATGTATGCTGTGCAACTATACATATTCTAAAAACATTCCTGTCTCCATGTAGGACTGAAAAAAATAACAACTTTCTCAGCCTGTAATTCCTTCAATTTTTAAAAATCCATTAATAATATGCTGTCCATTTTCAGTGTTTAAAGATGTCTTCTCTTATGATATACAATAATAACAACTACAGAAGAATTTGTTAAGCTCTTATTAGCTTTAGTTCTTCTGTTTGATAAATAATTTTGATTAGTGCAGTTTTTTGGGTTTTTTGGGGTTTTTTTTGTTTCGGTTTGTTGGTTTTCCTAGTTTTAGATATGAGTGATTCTGAAAAGTAAATGTGTGGTATATTTCATTGAACAAGTGAAAGGCTGGCAAAGTAAATTAAACATGGCAGATTCCGTCATTTCCATTTGGATGGAATTTCAATGCATGTGGTATCTTCATCGTTATCTGCCTTGTTTTCCTTTCACACCGACTGGCAGTTCCTGGTGTCACAATTTGAGACAAAGATCTGGAAGTCACTTCTTCACACATCTTTAATATCTTCTGTTGCTTACTCTTTGTTAGCTTTTTAACCTCCTGGAGGCACATAGAAATACGATACTGCTGAGGTGCAGAAATCTTTTCTGCAAAGTCCATTTATGAAAGTGATGGTTGAAATACAACTTTAATGGCTGTTATTTATTAATGGCTTAAGGTAACTACAACAATCAACATAAACTCTTGAACTGACACAAAGCATTGTGCCTTAATTGTTCATTCTGCCCAAAAGAAGTCACTGAACCCTTGCATAGTAAAGATGATAATTTTGTGTTGCCAGTATACCTGTAATTCAATCCACAGATCTAAGGAAAGTCCTCATCATGTACAGTTCTGAAAATCTAGTATAGGATTATGTTCTGTAGGGAGCTTCTGTGCTTGAAATATCAAATATATTTCTAATTGTTTAAATCTGCAATTTAGAAACATTGACAGCAGCATGTTTCACTATATGCTAAAAATGTATATTTTTTGTCCAAGTTGAGAACCCTGTTAAGAGGAATGAAATTATTTGTGGTGTTTAACATGCTGAAGTTTCTTCATGGTGCATATTGAAAAAGGCATTGAGCTTACATGAGCAGAAATACTCTAAGTTACTAATTCTGCTAAAATCTGTCATTTTTATCTTGTTGAAGAGTTTTAAGGTATCATCAGTGATATTTGCAGTTCTCTCTGTTCATCTTACTTTTCCTTCATATTCACTTTAAACACTGTCAAAATATGTGTCTGTGGCTTTAATTATTTTTCTTTTTCCATCTAAGAAATAGAGCTTAAAACAAGCTGATTAGGTGTATTCTTCCAGCTCTTTTCCCCATGTTTTTCTTGTCCCAGTTTAGTAAACCATATGAAGTAGAAAAACATTAATTTGAGAGTTGAAATAGCTCTCTTTCTTTGTGTACAGCTGTTGTTGACTGACAGATAAAGAAAATGTGATGGAAGCTACAAGGAAGCCAAAGGTGTGTGGAAGCTCTGAAGCTCTGCAACAGAGGTAAAATTTCCTGTATGATTACAAACTGTTCCAAAGTGTAGTTCTGCAGCAAGCAGGAAATGAGAGCTGTCAGATTGTTTCCTTTTTGTACAGGTGTGAGATGTCCCAATCATTTTTTTGTCATTTGTTCCTGTTTGACATATTGGATTTCTGCTGCTTTTTACATGACCAGCTCAACTTGAGGCATAGGCTTGTTATTTAGGGATGGCATGATGTCAAAATTGTCAAAGGTCTTAAAAGTGTGTTCTGTTTGGATCAGATTCACTTTCTCCCTGTCCGTACTCTGGGGGTCTTTCTTTCACACCTGCAACAGGATGTGGTGGATTTGTGCAGCCAAAGTCCTCCTTCCACACACTTGCAGGAATGCCTTGAACTTGCCACCTGCACTCACTCTTCCTGGCTTTAGACGCAGCCATGTTTAGAGTCACAATCTCTTTCTTCTTGCAGGAAAATGTTGCAATAGGAAGTTAAAAAAAAAAAAAAAACCACACAAACCTGTTTCTTGACATGCCACTTCTGTTCTGAGAGATACCAAGCTAATAGCTGGAGTGCATCACTCAAACATAAATAAATATGGCTTCTTTTTCCTTCCAGATAGGCATATCATTGAATATTTTTATTCTTAGTACTTTTTGTGTCAATATCAATGTGTGTTTTCATGTTTTTAACTCTTTGTACATCAAAAATAATACATCTACCTTTTTAAAAAGTGGTTTCTTTGCTCCCCCACTCAAGTGATTTTTATCTACTTTTTCATTTGATGCTTTGTTGGTTTTCTTTTTAAGTTTATCTGCACGTTACTGCCCTGTTGAGTTAGAAATTTTTTTTTTGTCATCCTTTACTTCCTAAGGCTGGACTCTTTGGAAGGTTGAAGAGGAGTTTCCCTTGCCCAGACTTACCTTTTTCTGGCACAATTCCATTCCCCTGGTTTCTTTGGTCTGAAAGAAATGTTTCCTTTCATTTTCTGGAAAGGAAATGTGAAAGTCTTGCCACCTTCTCTGTTCCTTACAGCTGTGTTCATCATTATTATTTTAAATCAATAGTGGATTGTATTGTTCTGTTCTAATGTTTGGTCTGATTTTTACCTTAACTGGGTGGGAATTCCTGGCTTTAAGGTGATGGTTAAAATCTCTGTCTCTTTTTCAGACTCTCTTTTTGTGAAAAAGCTTTGGCTTTATACTTAGAAAGCAAGCACATACTTTTTCCTTTCTTCTGTTTTGGCTTTTCAGCAGACTTGCTAGACATCCTTTAAAGAGGAGCACAGCCAAAACAGCTGAGCCACTTTGTGCATTAATGTACTTAATTTTCTTTACAGAAAGGGAAGTTTTCCAGCTAACCTGTGAGCTGATAATATCATTGAACTGCACCTTTGTTGTGAACAAATTTCTAATTTACTTTGAAAATAGGAACATTTTGCCTAAGGAATGTAGAAAGCATTTTTTTTCTCCCAGCTGAGACGAGTACAAGGTGTTCAGCAAGAAGAGATGAGAGACATGTTACAAATCCTGATCTGTCTTTGCTGGAAATTTAGCCACAGAGAAGTTGCATTTATTTGGATTTTTGGGTTGTAGGTTTGCAGGAATTAGAAAAGGAGAAGGTCAATGAGATCATCAAATCTATTCTTCTTCTAGCAGGGATTGGGATTGATCAAATTTCAGGCAAGCAGTGCCTAGTGATGATAAGTAACACTGGAAGATCTGTGGTGCCTGCTGGGCTGTTACTGACTGTGCTGCTGCCCCTTGCATGAAGAATGCTTTGTAGCTATCCTTCCATGCTCCTCCCTTGAACAATGATCTCCTATGTTTTCTGACACCCATCTCTATAAAAACACAGGCACTTTGATGTATTTCAGAAGCTTCATACTGTGTTATCTCCATGCCAGATGATACTCCTGGCCTCGGTGACTATCCAGCCACAGCCATCAGTTCTCTGCGTGCTGCAGCTTTGAGTGTGCCTCAGGCAAAACCTTTTTTTGAAGGGCTGTGACTTGTAACTCAGAAGAACTGATGCTTTCAGAGGTGATGAAGGCTTGAACATGGAGCCTTTTCAAACATGATGGTAGGCCCTTACAGACTCTCCATGTAACTAAATCTCAATGATTTGTTTCATTCACACATAAGACAAGAAAACAAGTCTTCTGTTTTAGGTGTCAGGCATAGAGTGTGCTGGTGTGTAGACAGTGATTTTCAAATTCCATGGTCTTTGGAGAGATGTGTAGCTAAAAAAGGCATTTAGACCTTAATAAGGCAATTTGTAGAATAAGCATTAGCCATAAATAATAACAATTTCAAGACTCCTCAGTTTTATATTGATCTTTGTCCTTCAGACCCTTCTGACAACTGACAGAAGTGTAATTAACTCCATTCACTGATTTATCATTTTGGCCCAGCTTTTCCCCATAAAAACCTTGTGTGTAGTAATCATGCAACAGTCAGAGAGTCATCCACTTTAACAGAGGCATGCATTAGTGTGATTGACACAAATCTAATGTAAATGGTTTCCTTATATATGTGGTATTTTTGGATGCAAATAGCCCGTCATCTTACCAAACTTTTTGACAATCTTGCTGATCTTAAATTTCAAAAGAATACAGAGGAATACATAAATGTTGCCCTTGGGAAATACAGCACAGAAAAGGAGCATGTTCTGTTCCATGACACATGTAGATTTAATGATCAGATATGTTGAGTTATGTGAAATCTCCTTAATGAATTTTGCCCTCTTTGGGATGTAGATTAAATAGATACTTTCAATTGCATGAAATGTTACTTTTAGTTGTATAAATTTGGAAAAAAAAATAACGAACCTAGAACATTTTGTTACCCAATACTGTGTAAATTACTATCATTTAATAAATTGTCTATCTTTCTCTTGTACATAAAATGTTTTTTAACAGAAGGATACACAGTTTACTGTTTGGAAGTAATGAAAATGAAAATACGAGTACTAAAAGTCATAGAACTGATCAAGACTATGGTTGGATATTACATTTCTCATACTTTCTCTCTCCTGCTGCTCTTTTTACCTTGTCTTCTGTTACAGTTTCAGATCCCCTCCTGTCTTATCCTTTAGCACACACCTCTCCAAACCTCCAGCGCTCTCACACGTCTCCTATCAGCTGAACCTTTCAGCTGGTTCTGAGCCTCATATTTGCCGAGTGGCCAGCCAGCAGTGTGCTAACAGGGTGGCTGTAGGTCAGGGAGAACAGATCAGCAACTTCTGAGACAATAACTTACTGTTCTCAGAACAGTGCTGAATGCATAAGCATCCACGTTGCATAAAATCAATGTTGCCCGTGGTTCTGATGATTGATTGTCACAGCAGGGAGGCCCCAGACTGAATGGACAAGTATATGCAGCTTGCTTCTTGGAGAGTTTCTCCAAGATAGAGCTATGTTTGAGCACATGGAGACAGAAAGTACTGTATTGTCTGAGCCTCTACTGGGGCTGTGAACACAAAAAACTTCAGGCTTTCATATTTGGAGCTTTAAGACAGTATGTCTGTGTTCAAATCAAGTGGATATGTAAAAAAACCCCCAATATCTGATGTCACGTCTGAATCCTGCTGAAGGTACAGTGACAGAGAAAATGGATGGAAAATCCACTCTCATTTCAAGTTTGCAAAAAGTGCTGATGTAACAAAAATCCTTTGTGAAGATTAATGAGATGAACTTCCTTTATTTTTAGTACAAAATATACCATTATGCATAAATTTATGCATACTTGGGGTTTTTTTGCTTCAAAAGGTCTTGATTGCTACACCTTGAGGAACCTGTATACAATGCAGTACATTTCTGCTCCATGGAGGCATGAAGAGAGGCAGAGAGAACAGTGAGTTTTTGACCACCCAGCCCAGGCTGAGCTTAGTACTTCACAAACCTGATGGGTTTTAGATGTAGAAATGGCATCTGGCAGGCTGATAGAGAGCTTGGCAACAGCCCTCAAGGATTGCCACAAGAAGCAGGTTTGGACATCTCCTTTTTGTTTAATTCACAGAAAGTAAATACAGCATGAAAATAGTCATATTGGTATAGTTTACATATTAAATGTTAAACATATGAACATATTACTGGAACATATTAAACAATACAGCACCTACTGAAAAAAGAAACATGGCTTTTTCTTCAATTTCTGCTACCTCATGGGCATTTTTATCACATCTTAATTACTGGGATTTTGTAGGATTATTCTGAACTGAGACAAAAGCTAAAAGTGAACATTCTGCCACAATGCTGTGCTAAGAACAGAGTACACATTCAGTATGTATGCATACAATCCAATACATATATACCCATATTTTTGTGTAAGGAAGCCAAAACTATTCGGTTTGTTTATGTCAAACCAAGCAGTTTACGTCCATGTTTAGTTTTAATCCCATTTCAGAAGGATACCTTGTGCGATTTAATGTTTTGCTTTACCCTTTTTTACTTCAAACTTCTCCTGAATGTTCTTCTCCTGCTGTGAGGACTCTTTCTCTTCATGAAAACTTTCAGTAGTTTTGGTTTTGTTTTCCAACATAGAATATCTGCTGAAGGGAAATACAAAATAGGAAAGAGACTTTAAAGAGGTCATGAATATCTGACAGAATTATCTAAATTTTCCCTGTAATAGAAAATGCATTATGTCTTTCTGTTGATATTTCCATGTATTTTTACATTTGCCTCCTTAGAATTACATGCAGTAGCTGACATTAGGGTTTTCCCCCCTATTAATATGAAACCTGTGTAATTCCATAGTCACCTTGTATTACATAACTCCATGTAGTCATTTATATCGTATTTTGTATTCATCCCCTTATTGCTTTGTCTATTTTTAAAATGTCTCTGATCTTTCCTAAGGACTATTTTTAGTTTGCCAATAAATGTTCTTGTACAATTAGTACAATTTTATAAAGTCTGGTACATATCGCTATGGAGATTATAACCACAGAATTTTCAATTCCATTTCACGTACATCTTCTCATCCATCCATTTCTCCTACCGTGCCTAGCTGACCATCTGCAGCATTTGTGCTCACCTGGATTGTTGCTGTTTTGGAGATGGTTCAAATTTCTGTTTAAACCAGGATTTCTTCTGGCATCTCATGCTGAATATCAGAAAATTTGTACGTACAAGCCAGTTTTTATGGTGAATTAATTCATGATGTAGGCAGAACTAATTTCTAGAAGTAATGATGGTAGAGGGTACTGGAAGCCATCTGGTTTTAGAGGGTTCCCTAAATCTTTTCAGGTCACCGAGCTAAATGCTCTTTATTACCATGCTGCTTGGAGAACTTTCCTCGGGTGATCATTAAAAAATTATGTCCATTTGCACCAAAGATGTTCATGGCAGAGAGGTATCAGCAAGCCTTCAAGCCCAGAGGGTGCATGTTCGAATCAGCTATATTTTGCATTCACAGTTTGTTCTGCCTTCAGTAATGCACAATGTGTTTTGCTCTCCTTTCAGAGGCATGTGCACCTCCAGGGCTTCTCCTCTTCCTGTGGTGGCACCTTTTAAAGGTGCAGACAACTGAAATTTTGAATGTTTATTTCAAGCAAAGTGCTCACTGTATGTATAACTTTAGCTCAGGTAAAAGTAATGCTTTTGGTTTGAATGAACACAATGTTTCACTGGATTGGAATTGAAATAGGAAAGAATTCTTATTTTTCCCCTGAGCCTCAGAAATAAAAAGGGCTTTTAAGGTGGCATTCAGATAAGAGGAAACAAGGCTTGAGGAGTAAAATGAAACTCATTGTGGTCAAAGTAATGTCAGCTCCCTTGCAAAGACTGCATTGTTTGTATGGAGAGCCCTTGTGTTCTGCTGTAATAGCTCAATTAAAATTATCTTCTATTACATTTGCATCTGTATAAAAGCACAAATGCCTCGAGGTGCATCTAATCCCTTGTAATAGATTGTAGTAGTTATTAGTCCTAAGTGGCAGGAATGAGGTGTGAGGCCTGCTAATGACAGCCGCAGCTTTCTGATGAGTGGCACTTATACCACCTGAATAGCTCCTACCTGGCATCATGACTCTTTGATGGCTCTTAGGTCTCCAGTTCCAGAGCTTTTGCTTGCTGTCACAGGTATGCCACAGATGGGATGTTGTCCAGAAACAGTTTTGCCAACATTTGTCATGCTCAGTTTCAGTACTTTTATGAGTACTTGGGAAATACCCCTTGGCAAGTTATTACATCTTTGACTGACAGGTAATGACTGCTATAAATAACAGTGCCTGCTTTATCTGTTTCAGAAATGAAATGTTAAATGTTTCTTAAAAGTTCAGAGTTCTCTTCTACCTCATAGGTATATTATGAGGTTATCAAGGCACAATATATTTCAGAATCTGTGTGCATGTATGTGCACATACTTAAGAAATTGTATGATTTTAATAACCACTACCTTTATAAAAACTGAAATATTTTTGCATAACTTAAGCTATATAATCATTGTCTAGTCTGAAGGGGAATATGAGCAGATCTTTGCCAAGGTTAATCAGGAGTTTTCAGCAAAGATTTTTTTTCATTTTTAAAAGTCCGAACCATTGGGTTTTGTTTTTTTTTTCATGCCACATACAGTGAAACTTTTTCTTCTGGGCATGTTTTAGCTCCAATATGGAATTTCTTGTTTAAATAAGTGATCAAAAAAGATACACTCAGGCATCCTGGCTAGCTTAATGCTTTCAAACCTCAGCTGGGAGGCCAAATTCTGACGTTCAAGTCTTTGAAATTCTGACATTTGAGTTGCTGCTTTGAAATAAGCAAAGCAGCAACTACAGCCTCCTGTTTCCTGTCCTGTGTGATCACTGATAGGATCTTCCTTCTTGATAAAAAATATTGATGTAGTTAGTTTTCTTTTCTTTCAAAGTAGTACCACACCATGATTTTGCATGAATATAGAAGAGATACATTTGTGGTTTAGGTCATTAAGTTGTAATGAGAAAGTAGACTTGGAATCATCCATGAAACATAAGGGTTATAAAAAAAGCTCCTGATATTGTAGAAGTTCATTGCAATCCAAAAATATCCCTTTTCATATGTTAAGGTGTCCTATTACTCCAGCCCCGGCTGTCCACCTAGCAGTGAGTGGTGCTCCTGCAGGACCAGCTGGCACAGAGAAGACGGAGACCATGGAAGATTTAGGCTGTGCCCTTGGTATGACAGTGAAAAATTTCATCTATTCGGAATACATGGATGACGAGGTGAGATATTCTGTTAAGCAGTATGGAGATTGCTGTTTAGCTTCTTTTTCATGTGAATTACACTGGAAACTGCTGCTTTCAAGGAAAATATGTTAAATATTTTAATTTTATCTGTAGGGAATATCTCTAAAGGTTTGGTCCAGCCAGGAGCTTTGAAGAATTCAATCATCTCTTGGTAGAAGTCTAGTCAATAGTGGCAGTACAAAAAAAGCCTATCCACAATAAAATTAGGAAGAAAAAGAAGTGAGTGTGCTTTGTCCTTTGCAGGCTATAAATTCTGAACCAGTAATATCTTCCTCTGAAGTTCCTCTGAAACTATTTGTAAATGAAAGACTAGATGGTAACACAAAATCATCTGTGTAATGTACTACCCAAATTAACTTTCTCTTCAAACTGTAGGAATAAATGTGAGTAAACCCTGGTCCTACCAGATTACAGTTAAAGTTTTGCTATTGAAACTGGTTCAAGTCCTACCATGTGAGATTGTGGCACCCTGTGGGTGAGAAGTTTGGAAGGATTCAACTTTGCAAGAAACCTCAGTGGTTCCAGGACTTGCCAGTGCTTTTGAGACATGCCTTATTTTTCCACTGTCCTATATTCACCTTTCTCCGTTTTGGGTTTTTTTTTTACTCAATATTGTCTCCTGGCCTTTTCAAACCCTCTGTATCCCTTCCAATTTTCTTTTATTCTGTTTCAAAAGGTGATTCTTCCTATAGACATGCTTCAGCCACATGCACTGTCTGTGGCTCTCAGTGTTTTCCTTCTGAATTTAATGCCAGACAGATTACTAAAAGCTGAAATACCTCTGCTTGCTAAGGTCTAATAAGTTTTCTTTTTTTGTAAGTAGTATCTTTCTTTTAACACTTCTTCGTGTTATCTTTTTTTAACAGATTTGTATTTCTTAGTGACAACATTACACTGAAATCCAGAGCTGAATATTTATTACTATGATCCCTACATGTGCAGGTCAGACAGAACTATATGAGAACCTTTGGTTCCCCATTCATACTCAAATATGACAAAATTAAAACTGGTCTTTTAGTTCAGCAGTATATTTCTGGATGGAGAAAAAGAAGAAATATTGGTGTTTTTTTCAGTAGTAAGAAAGAGCTCTGAGGGACAAATTTGCTGGTTTGTAACTGGCTTGAACACAAAAGTCAAGATCTCCTTTTTTGCTAGTATGTAACTTAAGTAATGATTATTAATGAGGAAATTATGAAATTGTTTAGCAATAACATTATTACTTCATGTTCCTTTAAAAATGAGATTTAATGAGATTTTTTCATTTGTGTCATTACAATTTCTGGGTTTTTGTTCTAAGAGTTTGAGCAGTTATATTTAGAAAATAAACAGTAAAGCCTCTAAAGGCAACCAAGCCTTCACATAAAAGCACTAAAACTTTCCAAAAAATTTGAAAAGCTTTAAAAAAGAAAAATTTTTGGCAATGGTTGTGTTGTACTTGGCTTCCAGGCCCTGTACAGCTGCTGGCTGTGCCCCCAGTGATCAGTGACAAGTGCCACCACTGCAGCCTGTGCCTGCTCTGAATTTGGGCAGTACCTGTCTGTGTTTCTCAGATGCCTCTTTTGTGCAGCAATGTTATGGAATATTAACAATCAACAGTGCCTAATTAGCTCATTTGGCTTTGAACTAGGGTCCTTGTCAGCTTTGATTGACACTCTTAATTGTGACTCTCTTGAGCTCTGTTTTTTAAAATGTTTGCACACATCAGATATTTGATTTAGCTGACTTATTCTCACCATGTTTAAATACTAATCTGTGTATTTGGATTATGGGTTTTTTCCCTTCCCTAGAACCTGTGCCATGGTTGTCCCTGACATTGAACTGGTCTCTGAAATGATGTTGGCTGCTGAAGGGTTTATTGGTGCCTGTTTGTTAGCCAGGAAGTTCATCACCTACTAACCTCTCTGCAGGGAGCTGCTGCCTGAACAGGTGAGGGTTCTCTGGGCTTCTGGATTTCATACATATCCATTAGCACACACTCCATACCAGTGCAGCTGAATATTGCATAATAGGAGGGATTTATGCACATGGTCTTATCTTGTATTTTAAAGGCACTTTAAATCACATGTCCATCCTTAATAAATCATCAGACATGAATTTGGAAAAAAGTGTCCTTTCTTCTTACCTTTGGATGTTTGTAATGTGTTTGTTTTGCATCAAACAATTGTATATCACCACTTCATGCCTGGGATGACTGCCTACATTGTGCTGCTGTGTAACCCCCATGTAAATAACCATCTTTTGGAGAAGAGAGTAACAGAGTATAAATTATTCTGAAAAACACACAGCGTATTGTAATTGAATGAACGTGTCTTGAAACTTTCCCCAATAAAAGCAGTGACAACTGTTTGAAAAAAAGGAGGGAGAAAAGCATTTCTAAATAATTTAATTATTATACTAGAAAGAGGCCATATTCAGAAATAATATCTTAAAAATGCAAACCTAGAAATTGTATGATCTCTTCCCTGTATGTATGCTGGTTTAATAATCTCCAGCTCTATAATTTTTTGCAAGATATTCCTAATATTAATTTTTATCAATGGAATTTGAACTTGAAGAATCCTTCAACCTTAAGCCATAAACTCAAATAGCAGGCAGGGCCTTTATGAAATAAAAAACAACTTCATTTTCATGCCTGCATAATTTTCAAAATTATGTCTAAATATGCTGAAGATTTCCTGACACATCCTTGCAATTTTCTAGAGATAATGAAATTAAACCATGCTTATCTAAAGATAATTAATATTGTTTGCTCCACTAGAACAAAGATTCCTTGAGTGTAATGATTACTTTGTCCTGGAGGCACATTTTGAATTGAGAAAAGTAATTTATACTATTGTTTGCCACTTCAGTATTAATCATAACACTAATGTTTGAAGCAAAATCTCGAATGCTCTTCTTTGTTTACTTCTTAACTCTCATTTGGTTTACTTTTGATGGACATGGGAGAAATCAAATACCTCTGAGAAAAAATTCTGGGCTTCTGCATAAAATATACAGCAGTTCAGAGAGTTCTAAGAGTATTGCTCCAGTGTTGGGACTTTTAGAATTTTAAATATTCCTTTGGGATTCTAGCCTATGGAAACTGCTGCAGAACAGGGTTATCAGGCAGGGCTTTTAGTGCATATGTTGTCAAGGGACTTCTAGTCCTGTCAGGCTATGGCAGAGAAGTCCTTGTACACTGGACAAGCCACTCACCAGGCTGCTTTTAAGATGCGTATTCTGCTCTTTAACACGCTAACAACAAAAAAAAATTTTTGGGGGGGGGGGGGGGGGGGAACCTAAAAAAATAAAACCAAAAAACCACCAAAACAAAACAAAAAACCCCAAAACACACAAAAAACCCAACTTGCCTAAGTCTAACCAAAATCTTATTAAGCGCAGTCTATTCCTAAATATCCTGGTTTCATTATCAATTCTGTTTTAACTTCTTTTCCCAGATGTACCATTTCTAAAATGTGGAGACTCATTTTCAATGCAGATAATAGATAAATAATAATTTACCTCAGAAATGTTTTCTTGCTGATCATGAACTGTCCTGAGCTTGGAAATTACTTTTCTTTAAATTCTTTTTTGTGCTGTATTTAGTGCATTTGATTCACACTTAGAGTTACCACTGTCATGGAAGAGGATAGAGGCGTGGCATCTGTCAATTTCGAAGGTGTATGTTAAAGTTGTGAATTTACTTCCAGTTTTGTTGTTGTTTTGGGATTGTTGTTTTTTTTTTGTTTGTTTGTTTTTTTATGGGGGGTGGGTGGTGGAATTGATAATACTAATAGGCTTTATTTATATTAAATTCCTAGATGTGGCTGCAGAATATGTTTTCAAACTTTACTCAGCTGGTAGCCAGTTAAGAATGGGGAACCAAATGATGGAATACTGAAAATGAAATGCATATACAGTTATATATATTTCAGCCTTTTATATTTTTTAGTCAACCTCTAATACTGACCAAAAGCCACTGAAAGACTACAAGTGAATAAATGTGCCTTGTTTTACTCTGTGTGTAGAATGATTGTTTTCTTCATGAACATTACCACTTTTATTTCATGTGCTGACATGGCTGGTTAAAATGTCTTTGTAGGGTTGTTATGACTGGGGTCTTCATGCTATCAAGGCAGTTTTGGTAATTTCTGGGTCCCTGAAACAAGGAGACAAGAGCAGACCTGAGGATTGGGTAAAATATGTTTCTAGTGTTTTGCCTTTGAATAAAAACAGACTCCTTAAAAAATTATTTAATGTGCTTGTGATACATTGTTTACCCTCCTTTTCCATGTGCTTATGTGAGTCTTAAGAGACTTCAATTTGCATAAAATAGTGACAGATGATATCCCAATTTTCACAGGCGTGATCAGTGACCTGTTTCCATCTCTGGATGTTCTGAGGATGGGGAACCTACAGTCTGAGCAGATGGTTAAACAATCTACCCTGGAGCTGTACTTGCAGCCAGAAGAGAACTTTATTCTCAAAGTAAATGAATTAATTGTCTTTAATTACTTAAGATTTTTTATCAAGATAATTGCCAATGGGTTGTTTGTATCAGACATGAAGATTATTTTTGAGTGTGTTGAAGCATTGATAAAGTGTCTCTCAGTGACTCAGTATTTCAAAAGCATTTCATCACAGCAGTAATGTTCTTCAGTATGATAAATATGTCCAAGGAAACATGTGTCCTGTTTGGAAAAGCTGTGTACAGTGACAATCTAGAGTGACAACAGCGTTTGTTTGTGCACGGTAAGAAGAATTTGCATTTGGCAGCGAATTCATTATTGGTCAGATATTTATAGTGAGGTAAGAAGAGTAAGGGAACAAAAACATAAATAAGAAGGTGTGGATTTGGAATGCGCATGGTTACATGTGACTTTTATGTACTCTGGCTTTTATGAAAAGGATAATGCACGTTATGCTCTACACATGACATGCATGCAGGTACGTGTATGCATGCATGCATACTCACAAGAATTAGTTGCCCGTAAGCTAAATTTAAGCACTAATTTATTCTAATTACATACAGAGTGAAAAAGTGAAACATAGAAACACTGGTTAGTGTACAGACCAAATAAAAAGTGTATTTATTCCCACCTTCCTTCAAGGAACATCCACATCTGCTGTATGTGGCAGCAGATCCTTACCTTTATTGGGGTATATTGGAAATAACCAAGCTGGTTGAATGTGACTGATCAGAAGATTTATAAAGGATTTTGTGCTTTTCTCTCTTGTTCCATTATCCTGAACAGAAGGGTAAAAAGCAGTAAGGTATGTCTTGAGGTATTATGAACTTCACAGTCAGCCTTCTACAGAGTATTTTGTTTACCCTGCTAACTGGGTAAATCAGAAGACAAGCACTGAGGATCATGAACTTGTTCCTGTTAGGCTTTGGAAAATCAGAGTGAATACTCTTCACTAAAACAGCAATCCACAAGCAGCCAAGCTATTTCTAATCTGTGACTCATACAACTATTTCTTTGGAAGTAGTGTATTACTTTAGGAGACTGACTTTGTATTTTTTGAATTCCAGCTGTACAACTGATTGCAGAATCCACTCTGCTAAAGCAGTGGCAAAATTGTGATAACTGTTCTGTATCCTTGGGTTCTCACAGTCCTGCTGGACTGTGTGGCTGTCTGTCAGAACAGGATTTGTTCTCACTTGCTGAGGTAATTGCTTTAATTCTTTTGCACTAACTCTTTTATCATTTTCTGAGAGAGCGTGTTGCTTGATGCAACATTAGTTTTGCTGAGGCAAATCTGCCAAGAAAGTGCACTATTAAAGGGAATAAGAATGAGGAGGGGGGAAAAAAAATCTTGTGAACAATTGTCTCTGTGATAATAACTACAACAGGAGAGGAGGGAGCTCACTGTGTGTCCCTTCTGCGTGGTAGGATGTCAGCTGGAGGAGCAGCCGGCAGTGTGTCACTCTGTTGGTGGAATTGCAGGGAATGGAGAGGGTAAGGTACATTCCTTGCTGTGCAGCATGTTTTCCATCTCACCTTGTAAAGAAACTGCCACGGCTCTTGCATAACAAATTCTTCATGTTGCCTTTGCCTGAGGCTGCAGGGTAATAACACAATGCTGAGGCCACTCGGTCAGCCACATGATGAGCAATAGAAAGCTCAAACGTTGCAAGCAAATTCTACACTTATGTGTTCTTTGCATGTCCCAAAGGACAGTTAATCATGGCATGAAGTAATGAACATTCAATCTGACAGATTAGACTGAGTAATACTTTGTTCTGGAAGGAGAAGCAGGATGTTTTAATTAGACTTCTAGAAGGACATCATGGAGTGTCCTGCCAAAACACTACACACATAATTCTAATACATAATGCTTGCTTATTTATGCTACTAAATGCTGGCAACTGCATAGATTTTCTTCTCCATTTAACACTTTCTATTAGAATTGAGTGCAGAATATGACTATTACAGACTGGGAATCTCCTTTCCTATCCTTAGGCTTAATGGAAATTTGGGGCGAAACTAGCATAAAGACAATAATAAATTAATGTAAACTGTTGGCTGAGTACAGGGATTCAGTCCAAGATCCAGTTCAGTAAAAAGTGAAAAATTCCTACTATATGAAAATAGTGTCACTAACATTCACCCTGCTCCTTCCCTTCAGGTTCTCAAAGTTCTTCATCACATGTATATGAACACAAAAGAAATGCCCATTTGGAATTAATTTAGTTCAGAAGTTCTGACAGCTGATGAACTGTGTGGTTTTGTACACCAGGAAACCTGAGAGTGGAAAGATGGCAAGAAACACATGTGTTCTTGCTAGGATGTCATTCTCCATGCAAAATGGACAATACCAGAATTCAGAGAACATGCAAGAGATAGAATTCTTCCATTTTTCTGAGGTTTTGATGCAACTGGGCGTGGGTGCAGAGAACTGGTGGTTTGGAAAGGCTAGAGGGCAGGGCAGGATGCAGGTAGGCAGAAAGTAGTAGCCTGCACAGTTCTATGCAGCTGCCTTGAAGGGCCTGTTATTTTCTCCTCAGACCCACGGTACCTCCCTTATATCTCCCACGTCATGAAGACTAGTGACCAACTCTCCTGTAACCAAAACAGAAATAAGTCACTATTACTTAAAATGCAGTCATTTTGCTGTATTGAGTGTTCACTGAATTTTTTGTTATTTTAAATAACCACCTAATAAACATACAAAGGAGGAAAACTTGGGTTTGATGTTACAAAAGCTTCTTGTTTCAGTGATGTGTCATCTTCTGAAGTTTTAATTGCAATACAATGTTGTTGTTTAAGCACTTAAGCGATAAGATTCTATTGAAATACAATTTGTAGTTCTGTCATCTTCTCTGAGAGAACAAGCAAATATAACCCATGAGGGGCCAAAAAGGTTTGTTTTAAATAGGGATATAAATCCTATGTAGACTGAGTCCCTCAACACTGTTATGGATAGTAACAAGGTGAGCCTTTGAGACACAATTACAGTGGCTTTCCCTTTATCTGTTTTCCCATTTCTTCTTCCTCTATTTTTCTGGAGACAGTTTTGCACTGTGCATTCCTTTTTCTTTTATTCTTATTGTTTCTTTGGTTTTTGCTATTGCTAAGTAATATTTAATACCTAATTAACACTTTATGTCTTGCCTATTTGGCACAGAAAAGAGCCTTAAATTAGCCTATGAATACTGTATTGCTGAATGTGCCTTCTAGATGTGAGCTGATGTAACTCGAGGTATCAATGATGAGATTATTGAAACTGGTATTTGGAAAGTCTCTCAGTAAAATAGACTTAAGATTCCATTATTGAAGTCCTTGCATCACTGTACTATGGTAGTACAGTTTTAGCTTTTATATTTTTCAGATTCTGTGCTGCTTTAGTGTGTGGTTCTGAGCTTCATATTAAGGAATGGTAAGCTCTCATCACAGAATAGCTAGACAAAACAATTCCTTTCTAGCTTGGGACCAAGGACAATCAATACAAATTTCAGGCCCAAGAGCATAAAAAACGGTGGAATGAAGAGAGAAAAGCAAGGGTGGGACTTCATAACCTAAAGCTATAATTGGACAAGTAATTCCAGTAATGCAAATGGACCAAAACTTATAGACGTGTGACACTTTGTGACCGGTCATCCATTTTGTGACCATTTTGGGTCCATCTTGGGTATAGCCCTGGCTGGGCTCTTGTACTGCCCAAAGTGTGCCCATTGAGGCCTTTTAATAAATACCTACTTTATTCTTTAACTCTGTCTAGTCTCTGTTCTAGGTCAGCCTTCACAAAGCATCAATGGAAGGTTGGTGTAGGAAATCTAAATCAGTCAGTCTAAGCAGAGTAGGATACAGACTTCTTTCCTTCTTATTAATTATACAGCTAAACCACTTTTGCGGACTCTGAAATGCTGGAATGTAATGGAATCCAAATCTAAGATCTGAATGTAACCTCTGGAAAGTGATGGGAGTTTTATGCTTTCCTGTCTTAGAAACTTAAATACTAGTAATCCTCTGGTTATTCAGCAAGGTGCCTGGTGGGGTGAGCCATATAGTCTAACTTTATCTGTGAAACAGGAAGTGGCTTTTTTGAGAAACATTTTGGAGCACCTAAATTTAGACTTCTGCTCTGAATCATCTTCTGATTATTTCCATTGTCCTTGAGAGAGATTTTTCTCTCCTCTGCTTTAATTTGCTTTCAGGAGAATTCACATTGGCAAAGCAGGCTAGTCCCCTTTTAAATTAATTAAACTCCAACAAACTCATACAAGGTCAAGTAAAACCTTTTGGATTTGTCACCCTCTGTGATTCTGGTAAAAAAACTCTAAGGCATGTTCAAACAGAGTTTGTTTAGCTTGTTTAAGGAATAGTGTATGCATTGTGTTGCAGATAATCCTCTGTGGGGTTGTAATAAACATGACTGCCTTGATCACGTTGTTGTTAAACAGCATATTTTAACCTTCTTTTGCTAAAAAGTTTACTGATGTAAACTTTGCCCTGACAGAGTCATAGGCACACATTCATTGCTTGTAAATGTGCCTCCTGTTCAGGTACAAGTTTAAGAGCTGCTGCCCCAGCTACAATATCCAGAGCTGGTATTCATTACCCGAAACCCCAGCACCTGCAGTAGAACCTGTGGGTATCTGATGATATTAGTTGGCATTTTTAACATCTAGTTTGAAGATTAATTGGAACAAACTCCATCATTTATACTGAGTCTTCCTTCTAATTTTTATTCTGTTAATTTATTATTTATTTGGTGGTCACATATATCCCCAAGGAGGCATTTCAGAGAATTTTATCATCAGTTAAGTGGTGTTTTTTCCTCTTTTGTGCGTACTGCTTAATCCGAGCAGTAATGTGGAGGGTTGACCCTGGGTGAATGCCAGAAGCCCACCAAGCCACTATTACTCCCTCTCATCATCTGGACACTGAAGAGAAAAATACGATGAAAAGATTCTCGGGTCAAGATAAGGACAGGGAGATCAAATACTCAGCACACTGTCATAGGCACAACAGACTCAACTTGGGGAAATTAGTTTTATTTTTTACCAATCAAATCAGAGTAGGGTAGTGGCAAAAAAACACCCAAAATCTTAAAAATACCTTCCTTCCAATCCTCCCTCCTTCCCAGTTCAACTTCACTCCCACTGCCAATTTTCTCTCCCTCTTCACCCCATTAGCACAGGGGGATGGGAAATGGGTTTGCAGTCAGTTCATTGTTTTCTCTGCTCCTCCTTCCCTCTCAGGGGAAGTGCTCCTCACACTCTTCCCCTGCTCCATCACAGGGTCCCTCTCATGGCAGACAGGCCTCCATGAGCTTCTCCAGCTTGAGTTCTTCCCTTGGGCTGCAGTTCTTCACAAACTGCTCCAGCGTGGGTCCCCCGTGGGGTTACAAGTGGTGCCAGCAAACCTGCTCCAACGTGGGCTCCTCTCTGTGCGGGTTCACAGGTCCTCCCAGAAACCTGCCCTAGCACAGGCTTCCAGCACAGGACTTCAACCTTTTTTAGCCATCTACCAACTTCTCAGTGGAGTACCTTTTATCCATAGTAAGAGAAATTCAGCCTCCAAGTCCATTTAAATCATTGAAAGTAATGCCCACAGCAGCTGTGCACCACAAATTGAAGCCTTAACCTTTTCCTATGGCCACATTTATGCACAGATAATTTTTTGCCAGCTAAATTAGCTTCACACAAACAAAGTTTATGAGATCTAGAGGAAACAAATCACTTCTGCTAGGCATTTGAACAATTTATAAAGTTAGAGTTGTATTTCTGGAAGACAAATTGTAGAAGGTATGATAGCATGATATATACCTGTCAGTGGAGGATGGAAAGCATGAGCTGTTATTTGTAATCACCTCAGTTTGAAGGTATGGTTATTTTGGTTATTTTTTTTCCCTTTTTTCAGTGTGTTCTGCATAGAATATTTGCAAGTGATTCATGGTGTTTTGGTTGCATTAACTTGTACTGTACAATTTTTTAATGCTTCGATGAATAGGAATTTTCCTGGGGAGATTAGAAGTCTGTGGACATAGAAACATGGATCTGATGATCAAAAGATATAATCAAAAGATAAACTCCTGTTGTCTTTGAGGGTTAATATTTTATAGGAAAATACAGAGCTTGTAAAATAAATATTTACCAGAAAATTGAACTTGGAAAAGAAAGATTTATCACGCAAGGAAGCTTTTAGGTGCTCACAATAAGTAAAGCTGTTTATTGCCAATTCTGTCCAAATGGATTTAGGTAAGTTGAAAGCCAGGCCAAAAATTAATTGAAATCATTCAGAAATTAAACCACCTACATCTTTCACCAGTCTTTGCTTCTCTAACAGTTATAGGGAGACTGGTGTTCTGTAAAGCCTGAGGTGGAACAAATGCACTTCAGGTACAACCAGATTTCAAAACCTTCCTATTATAAGAAGCTGAATAAAAATTTTCAAGTAGAAATATTGTGTAAAAAGTAAAACAATTTTAGTAATTCTTTGAGAATAAAAGAATGGTGTATCCTGCTTCATCACTTTTTTGGATTTAGTCCTAGCCAGAGAAAGAGACAGAAATTACAGTTTTCTTTTAAAAGTAAACTGTGATGTGCAAATGTTTGGGGTTTTTTCCCTTTCAATTTTAGTCAGTCTTTGTTCACACATTTTAGACTGTACATCTCTAGTACTTCATTGACTGACTCGTAATAAAAGGCAAAGCATTCTTGCTTCTTGGAAAAACAGTGTTTATAGGTAATAGGCATGGTGCTGTCTCTGAAGACAAGCTCCAGACCAACAATCCATTCAACTACCATGCAACATCAGCAGTGCTCCAAAGTTCCATACAGATGTGAGAAACTTATCTTCCCTCAACAGCAGAGATAAAATATATTCCACAGTTTTTACGGTGTTATCACAACCATTGGCTGCTGCTTGTCTGGGCCTTGGCAAAGTTCATTGCTTTGCAAACTGGAAAACTTTGAAAGTTGTGGCAGGCAAGGGGAAAGGAGGAGGATGAAACTGCTTGATGCAAACTGAAACTGACACTGTGCTCCCACAAATTGCTGTCTGATTGCAGATGAGAAAATTTGGCTTTACCTCTGTTCACAAGAAGCCTTGAGCCAGCCTTAACCTAGCCTGGGTGTCTCAGCATGGTGTCTGTAGGTAAGCCAAAATGGACAGTCAGAAGTTGAGTTTACTTTTGCCAGGTACCATAAAACATCCAAGGAGGGTCGATCCCTGTCTGGTGGAGTTTGGAGTCTGTAGATGAGATGGATGCAGATCAAAGGAAATGTTAATATAACACACAAATGGAGAGGGCTGTATGTTGGCCAAAACTGTTATACTGGTGGTAGATTTTGGAACAAGAGGAGACAGACAGTCAAAGCAAAATAGGCTCATAAAAGCTGTCTGTTTTGCTCTTCATGAAGAACATGATCAAGGGAGAGCCCAGCTGTCAGTGGATATGCCCTCGTTGCCATCCATTTTTTTTATCCTTCCTGTAAGTTGAACAGGAAACAACTATACAAAAAAAAATTGTGCCCTCTTTTTTCATGCCATGAAAAGCACTAGAGAAGTAAGTTAATACACTGGCTTGTCCTTTTAAATGTCTGGGACAAGATAGCAAAATACATTTTTCAGTTTTAAAAACTTTCTACAATTTTAGAAGTCTTCAGAAAAAAATCTTTAAAAGCATTTAAGTGTGTTTGATGTGTAGTTTAACTGCTTTTGCAGTCAGTTACCTAATTTTCCAGCCAATCTACATTGCTGATAATGGATTGCATTTTCACCAGGTTTAAAAAAGTAGGTATAAATCCACAAATCTTAATTGAATAAGCTTTTGCCCTGTTTTCTCTTTCATATCTTGTATTAATTTCTTCTGTATTCACATCAGATAAGCAAAGATCATTTTGTCTTCTTTATATCTTAGTTTATTCTTTGAAGTGTTTCCAAATTCATGTTAACATAGAATCCTGCATTAGCAGAACTTAATCGCCTTTTTCCCATCAAAATTAATGGAAAGATTAGGAGAAAAGAAATTTGCTGTGCCTCAGAGTGAGATCATAAACTGTTGTAAACTGTCATAGCTCCTTTAATGGGGCATCAGCCTTAAAAGCTTTCAGAAATTCCTCTGATCAGGGAGGGATTTTTCAGCTAATGACTGCCATTCCAATACCAACCACAGCCATGGCTCTAGAGTACAAAAGCATAACACTTTCCATTGCAAAGAGGAGCTTATGAAAGGAGCTCCTGGGCAGCAAAGGCTGTGTATTCTTCTTGCAGGAAACTTAAATAAACCAAAGATGTGAAGTCAATATCACAGAGGCTTGTTCTCCAAGCATGCTACACCCACCAACGGTCTCGTGGCATAAAATTTGAGAGTTTATGAACCTTTAAGGATTTGCTGTGAAATTTTAGTAGTATTCCTTCACATTTTAAGTCAGTATTGTAAACCATCCACTGCTTCTTCTAAGAAAAATTAAGGCATGTAAAAAGCAGTGGACTCCTCTCATTATCTGTGGCTCTTCCTTCTGTCCACCACTCTTGAGCCAAGTTCCTTTTGTTAAATGCTCTTCTACCGAGTCCCTCCACTAATCACAGCAGGTAGCTGCATGACAATCCAGAAACAAGTAATTGTGTTCCCTTCCCATTGCATTTACAGCATTGTCTCAGTGAGCTGTGATGGAATGACATGTACTGTCATGTGTAGATCAAAATGATGGCCATTATTTTTGTGTTTGTGTGTCCCAATATTTCTTCCTGGTAAATGCATTCAAGTGATACACTGAAGTGCCTTCATGTGTCTTAAGCCATCACTCCAAACAATTGTCTGGAACAGTCAAATTGTGGATTGTTTTCATAATGGAAAGAATCATTCACATCAAATTGCACAAATGAGCAATCTAAATTGTCTTAGTTCATAAAAAAGAGCTTAAGAGATGAACTTGTTAAAGTACAGTGATTAACTACTGTTCATTGCTATGTTCTTTCCATAGTTGAGAGGTTAAAATATTTTTCTTACAGATCATATCGCTTTTAATCTGCAGTATTTTCTGTCAGTTCTAATCTTATCTGTAGCCACATAACATTTTTTGAGGTATCTGCTAGAGTGGGTGAGATTAGCATGTAGTGTAGGGTTTTATTTAGCATTCCCCTAGGCATATGACTCACCCGCTCTGCCTCTAGAACAGCAGAAAAGTTGAAAATGTTGCTTGATGGAGGCACGTTCTGATGCAAACTAATATGGATACATTAATTCTGGGGCCTCAATAATATTTAAGTCTGGAACACTGCCACAGAGAACAAAAATGTGCAAGTGTTTATAATTGTGGACATTATTTAAAATTTAGATCAAGAGAGATGATTCCCAGTGTGAGGTTTAAAATTGAGCTAAAAGAACAAAATCGTCTTTTATATAATTAAGAGACTTTAGGCCTTTCATATGCACATAGTTTCTGCAGGAAGTTTTTTCCTTTTGTGGTAGGAAAGCAGGGTAAGTGCAAACACAGCTTTTGCCCCTAGAATTTATGATCATCCAGTTGCAAATATGTTGAGGTTCTCCATTTCTGTCCTGTCTTCCGGCACACCTTCACTCTTTATCTTCTTGTTTCACTTCTTCAGTCAATAACCATCCTTTCAGCTGACTGTGACTGGACAGAAATGGCCTTGGAAGCATTTGTTATCTTCGTTGAGATCGCCAGTCAAAATCACCGTTGAGGTTTGCAGATGATTCATTTCACTGAAAACCTATGACAATGCTTCCGTAGTCCCACTGGAAACTGCTTGCAGTGACGTGTTTGCTTATTCTGCTTTGCCCAAGGCACTCATAAGTCTGCAGTGAGTCAGACTGTGGCAGTGCTGGGATGTCCAGCCTTCAGCTGTCCCTGTGCAAGGGCAGTTTCCATTTCCTACAGGCTCTCATGGACATGTTATCCAGCTTTTAAATAAACAAGACAAGTTCAAAACCATATAATTACATTTCACTCTTTTATTTTGCCCAACCCAAAGTATTTTAATACACTGTGCAATAGAAAAAAAAATTAAATCTGTAGTCTGCACTTTTTCCTCTTCTACTTACTACACATGGAACTCATAATTATTTTTCCTTTTTTTTTAAAATACATATAGGCATTTCTTATTGACAGATATTAAAGTCTTATTAAATTCTGGCTTTCATCATCTCAAAATCAATAGCAGGTGTATCCCAAATTCATTATTGACTGAATAAAAAAAAATCTGGGTTAAATGTACAAAACTTTTGAGAAATCTTTTTCCTCTTGCCAAAGAGTATGGAGTTTGTATTAAATGCTCTGCTGTGCTGTAAGGATTTTAACCACTGTATTCCCTAAGTGTTTCATAACCCTCTTTGGTTCAAATCCCAGCTCTGAGACAGAGAGAATTTAGGCTGCTTTTTGAAGATGAGAGCCTCAGTCACTGTGACAATACTGAAGTTTTCATTGAAGTCCACCTATTACTGTGGTTTATTTTGTGCAGAATACTTTCTGTGATAATTTGAACAACAAAAATATATGACCTAGGAAGGAAGATTGTGAGTTTGTTCCAGTTCTGCTTTAATAAATTCCTGGTGTTTTCTGCAGGTTTTTGTTTCCATGCACAAAATTGAAAAAGTGCAATTAGAAATCAGACTTCTGTGAATGATGAATCTCGTCATACATATCTGTGGAATACTTCACTAAGTGACAAAATTGAGGATCACATAGTACCAGAGTTCAGCATTATAATAGTTCTTAATAAAAGTTGTTTTATTCTATGTTTTCAACATGACTTAGCAGCCTTCTGTAGCTATTTTTTTCCCTTACACATCTAAGGGAAGTAGTGCAGTTGCATAAAAATTGTATAAACTCAAAGGTTTATGTCTCAATATTTTGCAGTTCTGATGAATACCTAAGGGTCTTTGAATTAATTTGTTCACTGTTATAGTAAATTTGTAAACCTGATGGTCTGCACTGACCATCGTGCAAGCACCTCGTTTTGGGGAATAGGCTGAAATTTAGTACAATCACCTTAAAATTCCCTTGTCTGGGAGATATTATTGCATATTTTTGCACTTTACATATTTTCCATATTTTTGCACTTTACATATTTTGGTAAAGATCTTATTTAATCTTTCCCAGGAGAAGGAGAAAATAATCTACTCACTGATTAATTTTCTGAGTCTCAGGATACCTGGGGATTTCACATTCAAAGTATTTCAGTTTTAAAGTATGCAGATGGATATGGTGTGAAACTTTCAAAGGCTGTGTAGTCAATCAACTAAATCAGCAAGACTTTTCTGAAATTCAGAATCCCAAGGTAATATATTCTTAAAGACTATCTGTGGGTTTCATTGATTGCTAAGGATTCAATAGTTAAAAAAACCTCCCAACCTTGTACATGGTGGAATGTTTCAGAAATTTTAGCCAGCATGATTTTGAATTCTTGATTTTGTTTAATTTCAGTGTTGCTTCATGTGGTAATAATTTCTATATCTTTGTGTTACATTTCAGGGGTGTTTGGAAGAACATGGTCATACTGATGTTCCAGTAAAAGAATGAGAAACTTTTCTGTTTTATTAGTGATCTGAATATGCCTGAAGTGTGTAGATATGAATTTGTATGTGACATGCGGTGACATGATGTGACAGCATATTGATTGTGGACACTGGTGAGCATTTACTTCTTACTTAATGTTACAATTTTTGTGGTTTGGTCCATGATGGCAACCATAAATCACAGATAAAACAGAAGCTTCAAAACTAATGGATTAAAGAGAAAAGCATATGTTCCTGGGAGGTTATAAACTGTTTTAGAAAAGAGAAGCAGAAAGTGAAGGGGTTATAGGGTCTTGGAAGGAAAGTATCCTTCAGCTGCTTTTGATGGAGCTGCTGGATGTTGGCCCCACTGATTGACTGCAGACAGCAGGGATGGCTGAGATACAGAAACTGATTCCCTAAGTTGCAGGTGTTTAGCCTCTAACCCTCTATGTTTTCTTCACCTGTAAAGACAACAATTTCTTCACCTGTAAAGACATCAGACAAAATCCATAGAAACTTTACGATACTGGTTCAAATGAACAGTCTTTTTCTGCCATGAGAATAACAGCATAGAAGATGGCCACTGAAAGTCATTCAGTTGATTTGGAAAATTAAGGTAATTACAGAATGACAGAATCTTAGAACTGTTAGGGTTGGGAGGGACCTCTGGAGATCCTCTAGTCCAAGACGTCAAGGCAGTGCCACCTAGAGTAGGTGACAACCTTCTTACTTTCCAAATGAAAATGTAATTGTTTTGGCTATTAAAATATATTGTATTCCTTCACCAGAACCTGTGTAAATATAAAGTTTCCAGTCCAAAATCAACAGATTAGTGTTTTAGTTCATTTTGTTACAGGAAGACCAATACTCTGTGTAAAGACTTCACTGTTATGTGAAATACATATTAGATTCTCGTTCAGATGTCATGTCTTCATGTCATCTTATATGACATGAAGAAAATACATGACTTACAAAGAAAACATTTTGAATTATCTGTACTGTTCTTACATCTTTTCATGCAGATGAATTGTATATTTTTTTTCCCTAGGTCATACTTCATCCCATGAAGAAATAACACAAGGCATCAGCTGAATATCTTGATAAGGAACAAGATGTAAAGAGAGAAAACAAAGGAAGTGACAACTCAAATCTGAAACATCTCTGGCTTGGAGAAATCAGTCAGGTCTAACTTGGTGACATGCAAAGCTAACCTCTCAATACTCTCCTATTTTCTTCCCAAAACTATATTCTTTTTGAGACAGGAAACCTTTTATTCTTTCACAAAGATTTCAGAGTTAAGATCTCAAAATCTTTAGTGCTTAAAAGGGTTGTTGCTTCTTTCTTTTGAATGGTTTTGAATTCTTTTAAAACAAAACCTAGACAAAAATTAAAAATTTCAATTTTTACAAAACAGATCAAATCAAGTAAATGCTGACCATTAAATTCAGGAATTGAATATAACTGGTTAAGAATTCTAAAATAGAGTGAAATTCATTGCAAACACATGGAAAGAAAGAGAATGCATTACCTTATGAAGATCTGGGAAGAAAGTATTTGTTGATTTGAGCAGGGAATAACTGCATTATTCATGAGTTTTCCTTTTACAGTATTTCTTTTAAAGACCTGCTTGTCCTAGTTGACATGTGCACTATCATCTAAAGAAACAAGATTCTCTTCCCAGCTGGAAAAAAAGAATACAAATTTCCAGCAACTCTGAGCCTTTCAAAAGTTTATTTTATTTTATTTATTTATTTTATTTATCTCTATCCACTTTTTAGGTGGCCTCCTTTTAATTCACCAGGAGCTGTGTCGTTTGGAGAGCCAGAAGGAGTATTGGATAATGCAGCAAACAGAGGAGCATGTCCCCCATACTCCATGATAATATTTGCTGTTTTTTTTCTTATTGAGATCAGCTACTTTTCCTCTAATCTGTGATGAGTGATGATTGTGTGCATTCTCAAACTGATTTGTACTTCTTTTGACCATGCTTTACTCATCTCCAAGTGTGTTTGGAGCCAGTTTCATTACAAAAAGACCCTTTATCATCAGAAGCTTTGTGAAACTGTGGTATCTTTATTGCAACAGAAATTTTGAACAAAATATTATGTGATAGAAAATGTGTGATTATTCTTAATTTTAAAATGTCAATCCCAATTCAATACTTCTTGGATATTTGTATTTCCTGTGGGACAGAACTGTTGATTCTTCAACTGAGGTTAAGCCTGGAAATGTACAGTACTTCAGCGTTTTGTCACTAATATTAATCAAGTTACATTTTCTTTCTCAGTTCTGATAGGCAGAAGGTAACTATTAAAGGAATTCATAATTTTCAGTATGTTGCTTTTATGAATCCAGCTGCTGGGAGCTTCATTATCAAGCCTAAACTCCATCTAGGGTTTAAAGTGTCATATTATACCAATCCTGTATTTAATACGTGAAATAATTACTATTTAGCTTTCCACTACAATAGGTAGCAGATGAAAGGTAATAGGAGAAAATATGGTGTTTGAAATTTAGTGCAGGTTGAAAATCTTGCTGTTCTTATAGCTAAATGGAAAGAGACACACTAGATTTATTATGACATTGAGAGTTCCCTGAATTGCAGTCTCATGTGGTCATCCACCTGTCAGATGTGCCCTTGGGGCTCATAATCAGACGTGCAACTGCTGTGGAACTGCATCAGGGATGAGGCTAGAAATGAAGTATTTTCTGTGACACACAAGTAGATGTATGCTCACCAGGCTGTCTTGTCACTTAACACTTCATTGACTCTTATCCGCTGTCTGATGCTGGAGAATCTTCACCTCCTTTTCCCATTTTATTCTCAGTGACGTTTTGCAGTATTTGCCTCCAACTTCCTGTCTTCAGGTTCCCTGATTACCATCTACAAAAAGGTAGTTGGCTTCCATTTCCAGCCATAAGCTTTTGTTCCACCAGTAACCAAGAATATTTGAGCCGTAATACAAGCAGACATATATCTTCACCAGTCAAGGATTCAAAACTTCCCAGCGACTGATATGAGGTTCCACTGCATCCTTAATATGAGAGACCTCTCCAAGGGCCTTCAGGCCTATGTCATAGGCTAATGTACCTGACAACACTCTTTTGCTGATCTTTACAATCTAATGATGGACGTTGGATTGTGGGCTGGTGAAGAACAGATGCTTTTTGTTCTAAGTAGAAGATAGTCCCTGTCCTAAAGTGATCGTGGTCAGGTAGATCAGATGGGTAGAAAGCTGAGACAGAAAATGCATTTCGTGGAAATGTATCAATGGTTTGCAAAGTTTGCTGTGCTTACTTTTTCAGTTGGTTTGTTTTTGAGAAGAGAAGATCAATATTTCAAGGATAAAACGACTTTTGGAAGAGTGGGTAGAACAAAACAGAGATTGAAGAAGCTCTGAAACAGTAATCATAAAATCATTTATGTGGCAAAAGACCTCTAAGATCAACAACACCAGCCATTAGTCTAGCACTGCCATGTCCACCCTTAAACCGTGCACCTAAGTGCCACATCCACACATCTTCTAAATACCTCCAGGGATGGTGACTCAACCACATCCTTGGGTATCCTGTTCCAGTGCTTGACAATTTTTTCCATGAAGCAGGGCTTTCAAAGGGTAGCTGAACACCGGGGCAGAGATTCAAGACAGAGGGAAGGACACAATAGGGTCAGCAAATCCTGCCCTTGCTTGTAAAGACATGTGAGTCTGATCCTGGTTTGTTTTTATCTGCTTTCCTGTTCCTTGGAGTGCAGCTCTGTTCTTTTACAGAATATTTTTTCCTCTGCCCACCCCATGGATCACTGTGAAGGCAAGGAGGCAAGGGCTTGTCAGGTCCTCTTGTACACCCCAACACCCTGTTTTGGGGTGGTTGCACTGGCCCATCATGCATGTTTGCACCGCTGCTGGCATGAAAGCTGGGAAAGAAGGATGTTTGAGGTGACATTGAGGAAGTGCTAATTTTGTCATGATGACATCTCCTGTTTTCTAGGGCAGTGTTGAAAAGCAGGACTAGTGACCATGGAAGGTCCTGGCAGTGCTGATGTTTCCATGTGTCCTGTACTGCCCTGGAGCTTCAAGCCATAATGGCCAACCCAAGTGTGCCAGTCAGCGGAGAGCAGACATTTGTTTTAACTACATTTTGCACGTTCAACTGGCTGGAGAACTTGCTAATTTTAGAGATATCTTGGTCCATGTTCAAGAATATATAGATTCAAGCACAATGTCTACTGGCTATCTACTAAGTATAACTAATGTCTTTGCAGAATATATCTGTTAGCCTTCCTTAAGACGCCCTATTTTGATGCCAGATGACAACATTACAAAAGACAATATTTTTTTATCTTTAGAGCATTTTGTTTGCTACACCCAAGTGCTTACAACAACCAAATGATACTCATTGTCTCTGGTCATGAGTCAGCACATGTCTGTGGGGATAAACTGGTGGAAAAAGACTGTAATTTCTTTTATAAAATGGTGATGGACACTACAGACAAATATTTTGAGGAATGTTAGTAGCTGGAAAGTATTTTGCCATGTGCCAGCAAGTTAAAAACTGAGTGGTGACAGGTCTTACTTACTGGAGCTCTATGTAGCTGTGGGGAGCTACTTGAGGAGTTCCTAGGGAGCTACATTGACATGCCTGCTTCTGTGAGCCCAGCCTTGTCTAGGGTGCCATGCAGTGGGTGTAACTGGAATATCTATAAAGGGAACATGTAATCCATCATGATGCTGTGCTTGCATGAAGTCATTGCTTTTTGCTGTTCAGGGCGTGTTGTGGTGCAAACTCATAACACTCTTAATGGAAGGTTTATGCAGGGCACCATGCAGCAAGAGAGCTGATAAATGGACTTCATTGGTGCCCTTGTGGAAGAGCAGATTGTGCCTCAGTGTTAAAAATAACCTCCATTTTGTTTGTTTGAACAGAGATTCACTGGGGTTTTTTTGCACTCCACAGAAATTAACGCCATATTTTCTGAGGCTGGAGAGATAATCTATAATGCTGTATATAGTTTGTCTTATCATTTAATTAGTTAATTATGTAGCAGGCCTTTATAAGAAAAGCAATATTTGTCTTTTGTTACCAGGAAAGGGAAAATGCTTTTAAATTAGATTGGTTTAAAGCAAGGACAATACCTTAAGCATACAGTAAATAATGCCACTGCATAGCTTACCTGGAGTTGCTTTGCTGCCCAGCTGCTGTACATTTCAAATCTAAACAAGCCAGAACTTCTAAGTGTCATCATAGATTTACTTTATTTATCCATAACTTTTTTTTTCATCAGATACCATCACTCTGGTCATGTGTAATATCAGTGATTTCCAGAAAGAGACAGAGGCCCCTGCTGGCAGAGATTAGCTTTGCTGAAGCAGTTTGTATTATTTGCAGCATCAAATGGTTCAACACACAAACTTTTCTCCTCAGTGAGTTGTACCAGGATTTCAGTGTCATCAGCTTTCACTTTGCACATAATCAGACAGGAGCTATATAAGAGAAGGTACTCTTGACAAAGCAACCTATTGTAGGAGTTTTGCTCCAAGTGGATTAAAGAAATGCTTAAATTTCAAAGATAATCATGGGGACCTTTCATAGGGACTGTAGATTTTTTTTTTTAGGTTGATTTAGAGGTTGATGTGATAATCATCAGACCTGCAGACAGAAGCCTTCTCAGGTATCGCTAGTTTTGCTTGAAAATGTTGGTAAGCTATTATCTTCTCTCTAGTCTGGTGACTGAGAGTGGTATCTCAGTTTGGCAAACAAAGTGGCAGGCTGTCTTAGGCTTACAGTTTGGCAGTCCTGGAAAAGTGGTTGTGAAATTAAATCCTGTAAGTTTTTTCTGCACCTTTTTGTTTTTTGGTTTTTTTGTTTTTTTTTTTTTACAGATCCATTGTGAAATCATGAATAAGACTGACAAAGTTCTACAGTGAAGTCAAAGAGAATTGGCTTCCAGTACTGTTTCGGTTGGACAGGTTTTTAGCTCTTTATTAGATGCAACCAGATTAGACACATTATACCTTTATTTAAGAAGGTTCTCATCAATGTTTTTTTCAAGGCTATTTTCAATAATTTTTTTCAGTGGCATGAGACACAAAGAGAATGAAGGGAATGTCTCAATGATACATGTAGGAAAAATTAAGCAAAAAGTCCAACCTGCTGTCTCCAAGCTCTGGTCTTTCATCCCTT